GATAATTTCTTCTCTTCTTCCACTCGAAGTCAGAACACTGGAGGTTCCTAAAGTACTCGATTTCAGATGACGGCACGTCCCGCAAAAAGAGAAACTGTCAAACTAATCCGGCTTATTTCTGGAATCCAAATTATGCAATCTACTACACCATCGACAACTCATTGCGTAAGTTGTCGAACGTTCACTCATTTGTATAATTATTTAGCACCGTGCCTGTAAAACCAGCGATACCATTGAACACATTTTCTGGAGCTTAAAGGCACGGGACAGGATCGAAGAGGCGCTCTACTTTTTTGAAAACTCGACAAGAAGTGTGGTGAGAAGAGTGAAAAGAGAGAAAAGAACTCCAGAGAAAACAGAAACTCCAGAAAAAAACTCCAGAGAAAACACTGAAATCTCTCTTGTGATGCCGGCCGTGGTATGGTCAAGACCAGCCGTGGTATGACGGAGAGACACAGCGCTGCGAGGAGAGGGAAAACGCGAGAGAGTACGTTGTACGCGAGAGGGCGCAGACGCCACGTATGCCGCGGTTGATAGAGTGGCAGCGCCGGCAGCGGACAGGCAAGGCCTTAGCGCCCCTGCTGCGCACTTTTGAGTCGCGGCAGTGAGCGCTTAAGGCACCTCGCCTTGGGAACCCCTATTTCTCACTTTAACAGGAGCTCCCTTCTGAGACCTGATCCTGACACGTGGCTTTACCGCCTTCCTTCAAAACTTCTATTGCAAAGTAATTGTCGAAAAATGAGTTTTACTGGGGATGAGAAAGATTGAGGGCTCCCAGTAGGGAGTAAGAAAGAAATCCTCTACAGCCTTTAAAGTTTGTTCACTATACCGTATTAGTTTCTTCACCTGCCTGCAGCACACCTCTGAACTGGAAAACAAAACCCAGCGGAATTTTCCCATTCTGGGGAGCGGGTGAAGGGCGGAAGTGGTGTAGTGGCAAGTGGCACGCTTACCACGCGAGCGGTCCGGGGATCAAATCCTGGGTCGTGAGTCGCCCGGGCCAACCAAGCCTTCCATCCCTCCGGGGTCGGTTAATTGGTACCAGACTTGTCTGGGAGGATAAAAAACACTGACTTGTACATCGGCTGGCCCCCGCAAGTCATTGTATAGGCCACATCGCATTCAAACGCCACTACGAATGTACAAATGGAAGTAGAATGCGTGCCGCATCCCAAAAAGGGATTGATCAACGGCAAATGCTTTATCCTTTTATCCAAGCGGGTGATGGTCGCTAGCTGACAAACGGTCCCAAATTTTATACCCCATCCGATGGTCAACGGCGGAAACAATATTTGGAAAACTTGTGAATTTCAGCGAGCAGTTATGTCACACTAATTCGGCAAGCCATTCAATTCTGGACGTCGAACACTTGCCTGCGGTTCCAGGTAAGCAGAAACAGATTGTTCACTATGCAACAGAGGCTACGTAAAAATCTGGAAATATCGGCCTTACCGAGGAAGGCCACCTGTCTGACTCCTCACTACAGTTCCCACACGCGCTATCGCTAATGCATTTAGCCTGGCGCAACAACTTGCAGTGTCAGTTAAATTATGAGCTAACGCTTTCCATCCAGAAGGCAAATTTGACCTTCCGGAGTGATAAATGCTCGGTTGGCTTGCACCCGAACTGGGATCTGATCCCCGCATTGTGATCGTGAAAACTGCCTGCACCTGGCACTCTATTACCACCGCTGAACGCTTTAGCAAATAATTATCTAATAGATGTCCTTTTTAGGAAAATCCAAGTGGGATGAATCGTCTCCGCTTCTACTACGGAACGGGATGTTGGTCGTATATAGGAAAGCAAGCATCATGGACAAGTCAGGATATCTCCATCGGTAACGGATGCAATAGTGTAAGGCTATTTTGGTAACTTGTAAAGGGAATATGTAAATGGGAAGCAAGCTCTCCGAAAATAAAAAAGGCATGGTCGCACTGAGGTGAGAGTCTGGACGTGATCTTCCAGTGTCGACTCCAGTTTTGGGTAGAATTATTCTGCAGTGGGTGGTCAGAGCACCTCCGATGGGCTGGCCGAGTGGACTTAGGGCAAAGTTCTTCTGAATCTTCTTTATCTTCCCAAGCAGATCTGCTCTTATAAAGAAATTAGTTGCGAAGTTCCTTGTGCATGTAAATGCCGCGAGACGTGCAGAATTAAGGGGCGCTAGTGCCTATAGAGGGCGACAACGAAAACTTGGCACTTAAAAACTACTGGTAGGTGACACTAGCACTATCCATAAGCCAAGGAGAGGAAGGAATGCTAGGGAGAACAAGGATAGCTCACGTCTTCCCCTCAGAATGCCCCCCTCTCCATTGGGTTCACTTCCAAAATCTGTAAAGTGCTCACTCATTTCAATGTCCTTTCTACGACATGAGGGCCGTTTAAGGGAAAAAATGAAAACGATTAAATTTTTAAGGTTGATTACCGCGGTACCTCCCGGGGAATTTCACATTTCGGCCCCAGAACACTTTTACCACACTCATAATTTCGAGAGCTGTGTCAGAGCAATTTTTATGAGATACATTACTCTTCATAAAATCATAAGTATTTTTGTAGCTCGGCACCGTAGCACATGAAATTGCCCACGCGCTCGGATTCTACCATGCTCAATCGCGCTACGATCGTGATTCCTACATACGGGTCAACCTCAATAATGTTCAATCAGGGTTACGAAGGGAATTTCGTGAAGGTTCGTGAGAGTTCTTCGTGAACGAATTGATCAATCAACGTTGGTAATAATGAGAAAATTCCAGCAAACTCCAGCAACTGAAAATCATTTCGGACTCGGGTACGATTTCGGCAGTGTCATGCACTACGGAGGATGTGAGTTGGTCTTATGCGGATTCTACAGATGCAAGAATCTTCCATTACCTTAACACTTCAACAAAAAAGATTGAAAGCCTGAGAAGCCTAATCCGTAAAAGCTTATATATGACTATGCGTAAGTGGCTACCTGGAGTATGGCCAAATACTTGTGATTGTTGGCGTTTTCTACCGGTTCACTGGGTGTGGTCATCTCGCCTAAGACACTAAAATATTAGAACTGCGATGTGGGCCGTCATTGATGAGGAAGAAAGGAAAGGAAGTCGCCGAAAACACTCAAGAACCTTCTCTTCTTTCTCCTGTGGTAGACAAGCCTATGTACAGATGCTGCAATAATTTGTGATTTGCTCCTAGACACGGCGGATATGCTGATAGCCATCCATTAGAAAATCTGGGTAGCGCTGAATTTTACCCTGTCCATAGTTGGCTCACAAGGAGCAGGCAGCGGTACGCCTTGTTAACCGTGGGTCCGGCTCCTCTACAAAGACTTCCGGTCGTAGCTGAGCAACCTGTAGGCTTGCCTGCCGCGCTCTCGAATGTGGTACAGTTAGGAGATCGCTCACCGGAAGGATCAGCCACTAACCGAGAAATTTCCAATCGAGCGACCCCAACCCGAGGACTAAGGCGAACCCCACTTAGGGTTACACAAATTCTCGCACTTGGTTGTTACTCCCATGCATCCACATCCACGCTATCTGAAATAGACCTGCTCCAAGAAAAAAACAATTGTTCTAGTGGTGGTCAAATCAGCAAGAAGTGTATTCAACCACCCATCAGGAGCACGCCTTTCTTCAGCACGGATACGGAGATCTGGAACATTGCTCACATTCACCACCGTGGTAAGGTACGGATATGGGCTACCGGCTACGGTTTAACTTTCTGCATAGTTATTGATATCGGCCTAACAAGTCTTTAATAGATTACTTAAAATCGCTTTTGCCCCACTAATATGCTTTTGGTATTACCTCACATGATCCGTGGAATGCCATGTGAGGTGGTGGCCCAATAATGCCCCGTCCATCAAAAGCGAGGGAGGCGGCCGCCGCGGGAGTGTTAAAACCTGTCAATATGGAGCCTGCGATTAAAAAATTTCATTGTCATCCAAACGACTCCTATGTTGTCCCTTGTAATAATGTAACTTAGAAAAATAATACAATGACTGAGATAAAAAATCTGTGAGAAGGCCGTTCGTTGCAGGGCATTGAAAATTAAAGGGTATGAAACAAGTTCGTCCACTAACTCAAGAACTGTCGACTCTCCTTAGAACATCGCGCACTATTAGTGTATTGCAATGATTAGTCCCCACTAATCGTGAGAACTGTAACACCTTCTGTAACGGGAAAACTGCCCTTTTCTCTCATACCAGTGCTAACGGTATACAATATGTTTGCCTTACCCTACCTCTGCAGCAAGTTAGCGGGCATATTACTTCCGAGATGAAAACCTCCATTTAGATGCATTTGCTATGAACACGAATATCTATACGATACAAACACTCCAACCGGAATATCAGAACACACTGGGACAACGAGAACGTCCAGCATTTCTCGGATGTTCGACTCATGAATTACTACTACAACTGCTCCAGTAAGTCGTATTTATTCGCTGCATCACGCTTTCGTTTCCAACGAAACCGAATGCTAGTGTTGGAATCGATCTATGCTCTCTCCTCTTACAGATCTCTGTACAAACGTTCCCGTACCACCATGTCGTTCACCGGGTATCCCGAATCCGCGAAGCTGCAGTCAATGCTTATGTCCAGAAATGTTTGCCGGGTCATTCTGCCAAAATCTACCGACTGGTACAGCAGCCAATTGTAATGGAAAAGTTGTACAGGTGGAGTAAACGCATAATCAGCTCCCATTCGATGAGCTCGTCTTGAAGAACAAGGCAAGTTTTTTTTTTATCTTTCAGGCCACTTTCTTCCTCATGGACGTATCAGCTTGAATGGCGTAGCCGGAAATCCGAACAGTTACGCAATGTTGGGAATTACCGACTGCTACTGGCATATCTCCGTAAGTCGTCTTAGAATAGGGAATTCAAGAAATGAAATTAGGACTAAGATGAAAGCAATTTTCTAGACCGGGCTGTAAAAAAGGTGGTGACCTCAAAGTAGGATTTAACACAGAAAGGAGTTTTGCGGATCTACGGGGAAATTTGTTGCGGTAAAAAACATCTAGACCGAGCTGTAAGAACATGGTGGTCCAAAGGTGAGGATTTTTAGCACAGAAAGGAGATTTGCGGACACGGGGATATCTGTTGCGGGGAAAATAGTAAGGTCGTATGTATTTGAGGAATAGTGGAAAGACTTTTGAAAGGAGGGGGGGGGCTAAATAGGCCTTCATTGAGGGTCCAGGGATCTCCAGGGAATATGATGTATACGTAATCACGATAGAGATTTTCAGGCACCTGCTGGTCGAAGGCTGCAAATTAGACTAAGCACACCACCAAAACATTGCGTGCAAGGCTGCCCATGGCAAGGACTTGAGATCAACCTTGGCACTTTCGACCTCCATGGAATGATGTAAGACCTACAATTACTATTGGATTTTTAGGAGCTAATAACACCAAAATATCTACGTAGAACTCAGGTGAGATTGTGAGGATGTGAAACGCAGTATTTTGAGACATTTGCAAAAGCAAATAGGTAAGTAAACAAACCCGCCGGTTTTGCGCTATCGGTTGAGGATTCACCTTCTCACAGATTGGAGAATAATTCCAGTAGCTAAAATTTGGGTTGAATTCTCTTCACCTTAGAGCAAGGAAAATAGAATTATGGAATTGTGGAATTATGCATTTCATAGGCGGAAGTGGTGTAGTGGCAAGTGGCGCGCTTACCACGCGAGCGGTCCGGGGATCAAATCCTGGGTCGTGAGTCGCCCGGGCCAACCAAGCCTTCCATCCCTCCGGGGTCGGTTAATTGGTACCAGACTTGTCTGGGAGGATAAAAACACTGACTTGTACATCGGCTGGCCCCCGCAAGTCATTGTATAGGCCACATCGCATTCAAATGCCACTACAATTCTCAATTGGAAGGGGGGGGGGGGCAATGCATGGCGTATCAAGAAAAAGGGCTTATCAACGCAGAATGCTTTATCCTTCATGCTTTGTTAATGCATTTCGTAAAAAGGTGAAGAACAAAGCCTTTGACGTTGATAGGTCACTTATGGAAATGCGCCGCGCACGTTACTTCCACTCGGAATCTAGCTATATTAAACGGCCTTCATAGTGCACGACCTGGCAAACCGATGGGACAGGGTAATGTAACTGGATAGCACACTTGTCCGGAAAACGAGAGACGCGGGTCGAATCCCGCCTGGAGCGAAAGTTTTGCCCATAACCAGCATTCTTGCAAAACCCCCGCAACGCGAACTGCGGCGTTAAAACAGCAGTTAACTTACAAAATGGACCAAAACGGGTTCAGCCCTTCTGGACAAGTCTGGTGCTCGTTTGATCCACCAACATGTAAAGAAGCCTCGATTGTCCTGGGCGGAATTTGATCCAGGACACCTGATCTTCTGTGATAATGGGCGCTACTAAATGCCCCTAAA